AAAAAAAAAAAAAAAAAAATTCAAAGGGCTGGTGAGGTAGCTCAGTACTACCTGCTTTCAATTCCTCAAAACAAGAAAAAAGATTTGTTGAATTCACACTCTATGCAATGCCCCCTGACCCCTTACCCACAGCCTCAGTTTTTAGAGTTACAGTCAACCAGGGCTTTGTACCAATTCCCAGCATCCCAGGAAGTGTCAGCAAAGTAAAGTAAGATTCAGACAGCCAGATACAGAGGCAAATGCCTGTAATCCCAGTGCTCTGGGAGGCTCAAGCAGGAGCATGGCGAGTTATAGCCCAGCCTGGGCAATTCAGCTCCTTAGCAAGATGTTGCCTCAAAATACAAAATCAAGGGACAGGGATTCTGCTCAGTGGTGCCACCACCTGCCTCACAAACACAAGGACCCAAGTCGATCCCTGGTACCAAAAAGAAAATGCCAAATTAAAAAGGGGTGGGGTTGTAGCTTAGGGCAAAGGTCCTAGGTTCAATCCTCAGTACTACAAAATTAATAAATAATACTGATGATGAAAAATAAGATTTGTAGAGCCTCCTGTCCTCTAATGTTTATCACGGCATTCTGTGAGCACTGTCTCACTGTCTGGTCAGTTGCTGTACCTAATTCCTACATTTAATTTCATCAGTACGTCTGCAGGAAAAGCATGATGTATGTGTATAGGAGGCGCCATCCAGGTTTCCGCTCTCCACCCAGCCTGCAGCACCTCCCCGTGGATAAGGGGAACTCCCCCAAAGCCCAGACAAAGGCCTGTACTTGGCTGGCACACGCGGCATGGAGGCGCAGGGCGCAACTCTCCCGGCACCCTGATCCTCAGTCCCTGCCCTGCTCTGCTCAACAAGGCAGCAGCCCGCCCGCCAGCCCTCGCCTTCCTCCCCGCCTTCCTCCCTGTCCGCCTCATTGACATGCAGTGTCCGCCACCTGGGCTCTGGCTTCTGGATCACTGCAGCCCGGTCCGATTTGCAAATGTCAGGCTCTCGTTAGCAATTCCGAGGGCCGCTGCGGTAATTACGCCTTTTCATGTTCCGGCGTGTTACCCCGCATCAAAACTGACACCAAAGCCTGGTTTTATAATATCACGGCCTGGAAATAAATGTCCAAAATGATATGAAAATGTACTAGGGAGAGATTAATAACTGTTCTTCCAGGAAGAAAGATAGCCCTTTTCAACCACTATACTATATTTTTTTTTCTTCCTCTGTTGAAGAAGCCTCTCTGAGAGCACCCACCTCTCCTCCGGGGGCTGGGATGATATAACCACTCACACGGAGTCATCAACTAGCTGAGCCTGGGAGGGTCCAGGAGGGGACATGAGGACAAGGAGGGAGGCAGAAACTCCAAGGGGCAGACTGGAGGGGACAGCCCCGTCCCCAACCCACCCCAGGTCCAGAGTCTTCCATCTCCGAAGGAGAACCCAGGGCTCCCGGTTGACGGCCAACACCTGCAAAGCAGGAGGGCTGCCCTGGAGCAAACGGGCATCTCTGTCCCCTAAAAGATGCCAGCTGGCATCGAGAGCTCTCGTCCAACCTGGACGTCCTGGGAAGGCTGGGGAGTGACGGCCACGACCTCAGCTGAGCAGCAGGGCTTCCCAGAGCACCTGGGCAGAAACCGCAGGACGGGGAGGAGACGGGCTCAGCCCCAGACGTGAGCCTGGCCGGCCCCTTCACACTGCGCACGGATGTTTCTGCTTTTCCAAGTCAAAGCTGCAGCATCCACAATCCAAGCGGGGTCTTTCCACTCCCAAGACATCTCCCCCCGCCCCGCCGGCCCCGCAAAGGCCGCAAATGCTAAACGCCAGGGACCCGGATGGGGAGCAGCTGTGGGAGGCAGAGGCGGCCACCTTCTCGGAGGAATCCTAGTCAGTGCCAGGCTGGGGAAAAGATCAAGATTAAAAATGACACAGAGGGAAGTGGGGAGTGGGTGTGTTTATAAAAAGCCACACAAGGGATCCTTGTGATGGAATTGTTCTGAATCCCTGACAGTGAATGCACAAATTTACTCTTAGGATAAGCCTGCATAGACATAGATACAACACACACTTGTACACAAATTAGCACACAGGAAACTAGAGATAAACCAGGCATGGTGGTGCACGCCTGTCATCCCAGCACACTGGGAGGCTGAGGCAGGAGGATGGCAAGTTCAAGTGCAGCCTGGGCAACTCAGTGAGACCCTATCACAAAATAAAAAATAAAGAAGGGTTGCAGTTGTAGCTCAGTGTGAAGGCCCTGGGTTCCATCCCCTGGAATGGAAAAGAAAATAAAAACCTGGTGATAGCAGAATTGGACCAATGTGAATTTCCTGGTTGAAATTATTCTATAGTTTCACAAAATGTTACCACTGGGGGAACCCGGCAAAGAGTAGACCAGATCTGTTATCGGTTACATTGGATGCGAGCCCACAGTCATCTCAGAATAAAATGAATAATGGGTTATGAAGTAAATGCAGAGAGCATTCCAGGCAAGGGATCCCAGGAGCCTGAGGAGCTGGGAATGGACTGGCCTCTGGGCGAGACACTTCCTGTTGGTGGTGGGGTGGCAGCTGTCCTTGGAGCCTGGCCTTCTTACGAGCCCTTTAGCCACTGGCACAGCCCGGCAGGTGTCACACCTGCAGGCCACCTCCTACTGGGCCAACGTGTGATGCTGTGGAAAAGTAAAGCGTTAACCACACAAACCCAGGTGTAGTTCATGGCTCTCCAGGGAAGATGTTTAACATCTCTGAGACTTCACTTGCTCATCTGTGAAGGCAAACAATCATTGCTGGCCATGGAACTCGGACAGGTCAGGGAAATAATCCCTGCGGAGCACGATGCCCGGCGGGGATGGGCACCCGGAAGGCGCTGTCCTCGGTAGGAATGCCTGGTGATCTGCTGGCTGGGGCAGGGGACACTGAGAGGGACGCTGCAGGCCTGAGAAGGGAGCAGAGCCCCATTGTGAGCAGAGGCCAGAAGCGTGTGGAAGCCAGGACGGCACACGCCCGGCTTGAGCGGAGGAGTCCATGGGGAGGGAGCTCACAGTAAGCCTCGGCCTCCTGAGGTGGCAGGGAGAGGTCCGGTCCCGGGTGAGACATCCACTAGGAGAAGGAGAGGACAGCTCAGCTCCCGGGGCAGCACAGCACTCTGCCCAGGGGGCCGTCCAAGGCCGACGAGGGGCCTGAGCAGGACGAGCCCCAAAGTCAAGGTCAGCGAGACCCGGGGAGCTGCTCAAGGCTCCACTTCGCTGTTCTTAGCCTCTCCGAACGCCCCCCAGGACCCCAGGGCGGGAGCCCAGTGTCCTCTCTTTCTCCTGCTTTGATTCCACATCCGGTTTTGTACAGACACACAGCACACACACTTGTGCACACACAAACATGCACGCTCACATAGACACACATATAGGCAGACACACACGTGCAGGAACACACACAATATCCTGCGCA